CAAAGAGTGCAATTTTTAACACTCTTTCTCACTTGCTTCTAGGGTTTTAACACCCAACTGTTCTCTGAGCTTTACAAACTGTGCACCAGTGAGTCCTTTTGTTAGTACATGCGCAATCATATCTTTGCTTGGACAGTATTGTAGTTCATGTATTTAGCGCGTCCATGGTACTGTGGATTTTTCGCCATGTAGATGGTTGATTGTCTTCATAGAAGACTGTTGGTTCAACCGAAGTTTTATTGAGATCGCTAGCAAGATGTTGTAACCAAACTGCTTCTCGTGCTGCACTTGCTGTGCCATATACTCAGTTTCTGCTGTAGATGATGCCACACAGGTTTGCTTTTTAACTGACAGCGGCTCCACCCAGTTTAAACAGGTAGCGAGTGGTTGATTTGCGATCATTTATATCGCTAGCCCAGTCTACATCTGAATATCCTATGAGGTTGCCTGTTTCTCCATTACTGTAAAATAAGCCATAATTCCGGGTACCATTCAAATATCACAGGTTATGCTTAACAGTTGTCCAATGTTCTTTAGTAGGTTGGGAACCAAATCTTGCTACAATGCCAACAGCCTAAGCAATATCTGGTCTTGTCCCCGTTGATAGATATAGTAAGCTTCCAATTGCTGATTGGTAAACCTCTTTGTCAAATAATTCACTGTCACTGGTTGCTTTTGTTAGTTTCGCTCCAGCATCACACGGAGTTGGTTTTGAGTTTTCCATCTGAAACTTTTTCAAAACTTCTGTTGTGTATGTGAGTTGACCAATCCAAATTTTTCCTGATTCTGGATAAACAACTTTAACGCCTAAAAAATAGTGTAGTTTACCCATGTCCTTGATGTTGAAATTCTCAGATAAATCTTTCAGAAATTTATGGATGCGTGTGGAAGACTTGTTCTCAATAATAAGGTCATTGACATAAGCCCCAAATATAAACATCTTTCCTTCTGAAGATAGTGTATATATTATACACGGATCATTTTTTAATTGCTTTAGACCCATATTTTTCAACTGATAATCAAGTTTTTCATTCCAACATCTTGGCGATTGTTTCAGGCCATACAGGCTTCCGTACAGGTTTACATACATGATGTTCTTTTCTTTTCATCACAAACCTTTCAGGTTGCTTCACGTAAATATCTTCCTTAAGTTCACCATTCAGGAATGCAGTAGTTATGTCAGTCTGATGTGTAGCTTTAGGTCATATTTTGCTGCTAATGCAATAATTGTTCTTACAGATTCATCAGCAGACACTTGTTTTTCCTCAAAGTTCAAATAATATAAATTTTTAAATTTGGTAACAGTAGCGATAATTTTTCCTTTTTCATCAAGTATTTTACAGCTATGGTCAATAAAATTTGTTGATACGTTCTGTGCCTTTACAAACGCTTATTAAGTTGAAGATAAGTTAGGCACATATAAAGTCTCGTATAGATAGCATCCTCGCTGGTTTTTGTTTGGTAATTTCAATGACATTTCAATAGTAGCAAGTAGTTTCCAAGGGTTTCCAACGAGTTGCCATCTCCAAGAGTTATCTCTTGTGCTACATCAAAACTTTCAAAATCCATAAATTTTTCGGCTTCATTACACGTGTCGTGTCCACCAAAATATCAAATACAATATTTATAAACCAATCACACTCAAGAAAACACTTACATCTTAAAACACACCAATAAAATCATAGATTACAAATCAGAATGTTTGTTGTATTAGTCATCATTATTTTTAGGTAGATACCGACCAAATATCGCACGAACGTAGTAGAAGACATACCACGTGCCATTTTAGGGCCAATTAGGAATAAATAAATAATTTAATTCTGGAGCCGAATTTGTTCGGAAAAAGTGTATAAAAACTAAATATACGAAATCCGTTCCCAAACAATAACCAAACTACACACACCTCTCGCTGATGACCTTCATGACCTCATGTCAAAAACGACAGCGTTGACAAACTCCAGACCACGGCAACACCGCCAACAGTAAGAAACAATTCGTATCTCTCGTATCCGTTTTTACTATGAATCACGCACACACATGTTGACTTTTTCACACAAACACACATATCACAACATTTTATTGTTTCTCACACACGTACACAAAGACAGTTTATATTTTATTTCAGAACTTTATCAAGCCAAACAAAAGACATTACATTCCAATCTATTATCAACTGTTTGTATTCTGGTCGCTATATTAAATTAATGTTTATTTGTTGAAACTACGTTGTCTTTTCTACTGAATTTTATTCCTTCAATAAAATGCATTTGATTATTCTAGACGGCCAAATTACGAGCGACCCGGTAACGATATTTTGTTAATGTATGGAATCCCGACACTCCAAATTTTAACATTCAACGAAAAACCGAGTAGAAGGATTCCTACACACGTGTGGCATTCGCCCCCGTGTCAACAATCCACTTCGTCTCTTTCTTAATTGTGAATAGAGCATTAGACACCACTATATCAATATGCCCGTCGTTCTCAATGTTGCCCGAATTTCCCCTTGAATTTGATATGTTGCATGAGTTCTTTTTTGTGTTGTAGTTCTTTTTAAACGAAGTCTCTTTTCTTTCTTCTGATCCACGGAATTCACGACAGTAACGTTTTAAGTGTCCATATTTTCTGCACTGAAAACACTTCGGCGGTCCTCTTCGTTGTTGACTTATATGATGTGTCGTCATAGCTTTCGTTTCGTTACAGTTTCCCAACGTGGAACCTCTGCATTAGCTTCTAAGACTGTAACCAATATATTGAATGAATCTTGGCAGGCTTGCTAGGAGATATATAACCCGGTCTTCTACAATATCCCCTATAACACATAATTCTTCAAAAATTTCTGTTATCGTTTTGATATGGCTCTGAACAGGATTTCCTTCTCTCAACTTAAGAGAAAATAGTCTCCTTCTCAACGTTAATTTGTTTCCCAAATCTTCTGAAACTGGTCCGCTAACTTTTTTCATACAATTGTAGGGTCAATAGTGTCTCCTATTATATATATATATATATATATATATATATATATATATATATATATATATATATATAGTGACGGATCAACAGACAAGACAATCGTAGCTAAAGCACGATCCTTTCGGGACAATTATTTTCCGTATACATTAGCCTCCGTAGAAACAGATTCCGTTTCATTCACTATATTTACATTGTTCGGATTGTTGTCCTTATCTTACGATCATATGGAACTAGAACAATCTACCTCCGTAGTCTAATTAAAGGGTTCGGTTCGAAAATCCAACGAATATCACCTGAAGAAGGCCGAAGCGTACAGCGGCTGAAACGTCGTGAATATGATAATACAAGATAAGGACAAGTCCAAACAATGTAAATAGGAGGACTGATATTACGTAACAGTTCAGATACTGATTCGTAAACTGTAAATTTTGTTGATCAAATTTACTTGAAACTCTTAAGAAAACCAGGGAAGGACATTTTATAGACATTTTTATTTAATTTTAGTAAAGCATTTGATATTGTTCTGCATGTTAAGTTTCTTTTTATAACTTGAGGCAATTGGATTTAGTAAAAATAAATGTTAAATATTATCAAGAATTTTCTGAAGAACAGAACAATGAAAGTAAAAACTGGATATACAGTATTAACGAATAAATGTTTTGTCAAAAGTTCCTAATTTTACTCTTTATAAATAATCTCCCAGAAACAATATTGCTCGCAGCCAGCATTAAAATTATCGAAAATACTTATGAAGTAAATTCGATTGAAAAAAAAAATTGAATTGTTTTCATTTGTGAGGATGTAAGTAGCTGCTGAAATTTAACGTTGGAAAATATTACACAAAGGAAAAATAACATCTATCTATATTTCTGAGATGAGATATTTTATACTATTTACACCATTCGGACTGTTGTTCTCATCTTTATTATCATATTCACAACATTTCGGCTGTTGTACACTCCAGCCTTCTTCAGGTGATTTACGTTGGAATTTCTAATCGAACCCTTTATTTCGTCCACCGGGGTAGATTGTGCCATGCCTTTTCTGGATATCAGATATCTTGGAGAGTTGAGTTAAAGGGAAATAACTGAGACATCTGGAAGAGGCATGGCACGTGGAACTATAACAATCTACTGCCGTGGACTAAATAAAGGGTTCGGTTCGAAATTCCAACATATATCACCGGCCGAAACGTCATGAATATGGCAATAGAAATGAGTAAAAATAACAATCCGAACGATGTAAATAAGTGTAAATAAGGAAAAGTAAATCTAATGTAAGACAGAAAAGGGTTTAAATATTATATATTTAACTTGAAATTTAATTCTAATGACCATATGTACTTTACTATAGCGACGTTAAATTCAAGCATGGCATGGTCGTTAGGAAATATATCTAGTAACTCCTGTTATATTAGCGGCTTTTTAAACTCTTTAATTGTGTAAGATTGATTCGTTTTCTACGACTTATCAATCCTTTACAGATTATTTAAAACCAGCAAATATATTTTAAATAGTATGAATTTTTTTGAACGATAATAATGATTTTTTTAATGATACAAGAAGTCTTACTAGTGAGCTGGGGAAAGAAGTGGATTCATACCTTTCCCAATGTTATTTACGCGTAAATGGAAGAAAAAAAATTTTATTCATAGTAATTGAAACCTTAAAACATGCCATTTAAGAAACAATGATGAAATTTTCATTTTTTAAAAATTACGTTCTGTAGATGGCGTCCTCCTGTACGAATGCATTCTTGAAATCTGCTGTTGAGATTCCTCATTGACTGCTGCAACGTCTGAGCTGGAATACTGTGAATTTAATCTTGAATTCTAAATGGCGAAATGTTTACTTGCTCAAGGTCACTGTCTCGCAGTGTTGCCACTTTCTCATGTCAGGCAATACGCACTTCAAAAATTCCCATTTTTTTTTGGTCACTCTGTATAACGAACCCAACAGAAATTGGAACTCTACTCTCCATTTAACAGTTCTGAACCATTATCCATTACACAACCTGCATATCCAAACTTACAATACTTGATATTTCCAAGCGGTCACCCATCTAGGTACTGATCATGCTCGATGTTGCTTAACTTTGGTGATCGTACGGGAACCGATCTTTCAACGCTCTATATGGCCGTAAGTCCGTCTAATAAGCGTCTACTAGCTTCAATGCTTAGTCACCGAAAGCTCACTGTGAAAATTGGAAGATGATCTTGCTTGTACATCGAATGTGTACAACGAAAATTCATAAGCCATTTCGCGGGTAAGGAAAAAAAAGGTGAACTATATAAGGAATGACTGAAAGAAAATTGGGGAAAAAGACACTTAAAAACGCAGAGTGCGGGGTGAATTTATTAAAACATAATGGGTTTAACAAAACTTTTAGAATATAAAAAAGAACACAAATTTTCACGCACACCCCAATACGTATGGATTATTTTACGGAAAGGATATTTTATTGGAATAAGCCACTCGAGCATATGAAATGTGTCTAAAAAGGCATACTTTAAAAATATCTTGATCAATTCCGTGTGGACAATATTGGAAGCTGTCAGTGAAAAATTACAAAAGAATATATAAAAACAAAATTTGGATATCATACTGATTTTTTTTTATTTTTAAGATATAAACAAAGGATTGGACTTCCACGTGAATGATTAGCAAGCTTATCTCGCCAGATCAAGTACGAATGAATAGTGTGTTGCAGACTGGCGAATGTGTCTTAGGTTATTTTATCGATCGGGTCAGTGATGTTGGTGTTCTTAAACATTCATCCACAACAAATTTAGGAACATGAATATTGAAGACAGATCATTCAAGATAAATCAAAGCGAAAACAACGTAGTTAAAGACATATAACAATAACATGGATTTATATAGAATAAAAATACACAATTGAATCAAAGGTTGTTGAATAAGTGTAAATGGTTGAGTTGAATTATGTAGTGTATTTAAGTTAAGTTTCAATGTGTAAAAAAGATTTGTGTGTGAAATTAAACTAAGTGATTGTTCACGTACAAAAATGTCTTTTGTGGCAGTTCAATTAATAGTGCGTATGCGTGTGTTTGTTTGAATTATTGTCCAAAACTGGTATGAGTTGTGTACATTTAGTTGTTTGATTGAATGTTTACGAATAATACTTATTAGTAGTGAGTTATTATCACTTTTTAGTATTGTAAGAAATTGTTCCTGGTAGAACTGCATGTGTTGAGTCAGAGAAGTTTGCGCTGCAAAAATGTAGCTGGTTACGATTTTGACTGGCGTGGATTAGTTTCGCATTTCTCCAGGATGAAATTCTGACTACTTGTACTTGCGTGTGTGTTGTAATGATCTTTAACATCTGGCCGTATGGATAAGACAGGCGCTCTTGAAGGCTACTGTTAAGGGGTCCACCCCTTTTTATACAAGTGGACTCGACCAGTGTGTACTTGTACTGCTGCCGGTGAATAACCGAAGGTGAGGAGTAACAGTGAAAGAGTGAGAGTGTGAGGTAACCGCTTTGTAGGAGTCACAGTTGCGAGCACATAGACTTAGAAGGAAGTCGTACTTCGATACTGAATTTCCCAGACTGTATATATATTATTATTGCTACTAACCGCATTTCTGGATCTACTAACCGTATTACCAATTGTATGATTACGTCAATACATTTATTTGCTATATTTCATTCCTGCGTTTGGCATTCATTTGAGACCGGATTTCATCCCGGAATCCACAACAAATTGGCGACGAGCGATTCGAACTCACACGGGAAGAACAAACAACAAAAATTTTCCCTCGTCGTCCACAACAAATTGACGACAAAGAGTTACGAGGATTAAAAATACGTAAAATTGAGTTACCATGGAAGATTTTAAAAAAATATTTTGGTAGAACTGGCAAAATACCAACATGATCAACAATTACAACTACAAGAAAGAATGGAAGAAAAATGGCAAAAGCAATTACTACAAACGCAGAAGGAAAATCAAGAAAGACAAATAGAGCTCCAGGAACTAATATTGAATGTAGCGGGTAACAAGCAATTAGATACTGAAAAAGAAGCAAATTTTTCGCAAGACGCAGTGTGGAATACCATAGATATTTTCAAATATTCTCGAGATGAGGACAAAAATTTCGGAGATTACTTCAGAAGACATGAAGACATCTTTAATATCGACTGTCAAAGCTGGACAGAAGCAAAAAATCTACGTCTATTGCTTAGAAAATTAGGAACTGAAGAATATACAAAGTTCGTGGATTATATCTTGCCAAAAAAGACGAACGAATTAACATTTGACGAAGCAGTGACATGTCTTAAAGAACTCTTTAGTCCAAAACCATCACTCTTCCACAGGAGGTGGAAATTCCTTAACCTGGTAAAGGGAGATAATGAGGATTATTCCACGTTTGCCGCAATCGTAAATAAACATTGCGACGACTTCAAATTGGCGGAATTAACCCCGGATAATTTCAAGTGTCTCATCTTTGTTCAAGGGTTAGTTTCAACAAAAGATAATGAAATGCGCAAAAGAATGCTTTCAAAATTACAAAATGAACCTGGACTAACACTACAACAATTATCGGAAGATTGCCAGAGATGCCTAAGTGTAAAGAAAGACGCGAAGGACATTGAGGAGTCAGCTGTATCTCATATACGTAAGTTAAACAAAAGTCTACGTTCTTCACCCTCCCCGGAAAGAAAACAAAATTTCTATAATAATGAAAAAAGATTCTCACCCTCCCCGGAAAGAAAACAAAAATTCCATAAGAGAAAAAGTAAAACATACAGGGCAAATTATGACGTAAATCGAAGCAAATATAAGCCCCCTCCATCAGCATGTTATCGATGTAGAGGACTACATTGGAACAAGGATTGCCGTTTTAGATATAAAAACTGTCTTGAGTGTTGAAAAATGGGCAACAAGGCATCCCGATGTAGGAACAGAAAAGATACTAGTAGAATAAGAGCTACTAGGATGCATAACGAAGACAACACCAACATAAGGAAATATGTAGAAATTGAAATCCTAAATAAAAAGATAAAATTGCAACTGGATTCGGGTTCCGACCTCACGATAATCAACCTACAGACATGGAGAAAACTTAACAAACCAACCATGTTAAACACACAAAAAAATGCCATTTCGGTTACTGGCAAGCGAATAAAATTCGAAGGAGAAATAATAGTGAATGTTAAATTTCACGGAAAAATAAAAAGAAACTTGAGATATACGTCATGAAAGATACTGAAAATCTTGTAGGTATCGACTGGATGCAAAAGTTCAACGTTTGGGATCTACCTATCAGCTCTTTTTGCAAAAAGTTAGAGGTTGAACCATCAGATGCTATAAAGTTAAAGGAAGAATTATATAACCAATTTCCTGAGGTATTTTCGAGTGGGTTGAGACGATGCAACAAATTTGAGGCCAGAATCGAATTAAAAAAAACGTCCAACCAGTATGTGAAAAGAAGCGAAATGTGCCATTTGCTACCATAGATGAAAACAGTAAAGGAACTACCTGTGACTTTGCGAGAGATAAGAAGAGAAGCGGAAAAGGATGAATTTATGCAGAGGACGAAGGTAAAAATACAATCTGTGTTTGACAAATTATTGCCAAACAAGAACAAAAACCAGTATACATCTATTGTACCCAAGAGATCATTTAAAACAGGAAGAGAAAATTTATCGAACCTCTGGTTATCGACCATAAGAGAAAAAAATACTAACTCCCCACAAAAGGGATCTAAGGAGGGGGTGTTAAGGAGTCCACCCCTTTTTATACAAGTGGACTCGACCAATGTGTACTTGTACTGCTGCCGGTGAATAACCGGAGGTGAGGAGTAACAGTGAAAGAGTGAGAGTGTGAGGTAACCGCTTTGTAGGAGTCACAGATGCGAGCACGTAGACTTAGAAGGAAGTCATACTTCGATACTGAATTTCCCAGACTGTATATATATTATTATTGCTACTAACCGCATTTCTGGATCTACTAACCGTATTACCAATTGTATGATTACGTCAATACATTTATTTGCTATATTTCATTCCTGCGTTTGGCATTCATTTGAGACCGGATTTCATCCCGGAATCCACAACAGTTACATTTTAGCAGCAAGAATGAGACGCAAGAGAGAGAGCTTACATGTGTTTTGTTTATATAAGGCCGGGTATCACGTGATCGGCTCAGAGTATACTGAGCGGGAAAACAGATTTGTCGCGTGCAGGCAGTTTGATTGGTTGGAACTGACCAATCAGCGTGATAGTTTTGAGTAGATTAACCAATGAATGCTTGTCGCATGATTTGTATATATGAGATGATAATTACTACAGGGGAAGAGTACATTTCCTCCGCAGGGGTGACTGGCAGACGTGGAAGATTCCACAAGTGAATTCGATCCATACTTTCGTTCTTGTACCACATCTAAGCTACGCTTAGTAAATCGCTATAAAACATTTTTTTGATATTTTTAACGGGCAAATTAGGAAATAGTTTTTTCTTTTTAAACGGTTCTTAATAGTTTCTGAACATTTATTTTGTATTTCAGTATTTGGTACTTTTTTTAAATACAGTTATGTGTATTTTTATTTTATTTCTTTTTAAACGATGTTTCTCTAACAATTTTTTTAGATGTAATATATTTCTTAAATGATTTTTTATTATAACTGAAAAAAATTGATTTTTAAACAAAAACGATATTCAGTATTTTAAAATGTTTTTCTTAGTTGTTGAATGGATATTTTTCACGGTGTCTAATTGGAAGCATCAATATAAAATAAACAAACTTTTACACACTCTCCTCCTCTTCCATGACTAATAAGTCGAAGGGAGCAACTTTTATTTAGTTTTCTCACAATTCTGTCCACTTTTTACGATCAACGCAACTTAGTTTTTTTTTTTTTTTTTATTTTTATATATATATATATATATATATATATATATATATATATGGTACCAACTTATTTTGACGTCTCCACCACCACCACAATAGAAAATTTGCGAAAAATCTCTAACAACCACAAGTTATTAGACGACCCCTCCCTTCCACTCAGACACAGGAGAGTAATAACCAAAAATTTTATTATATGAAATGTTCAGATATGAGAAAGTAATGTATTTAGTTTTACAAACAAGCAACAAAAGAACACAGTAATAGCCG